ATCACCGACACCTTAGGAAAAAGTTTTAAAATCAGTCTGGTGATTGTGGTCCACTGTAGGTACCATCATATTTTTACAAATAAAAAAACAGGTTAGGTGGCTGCTGAGTGTTTTTTTCTCCTGATTTGTAAACTGGCCTAGAGGAAAAGGTATAAAAAATTAAAACACCTTCAACATTTACAAAGCTACCTTATTAAAAAGAAAAAAATAGACGTAAACCAAGACTATCCCAGAAAATCTCACACAGAGACACCATAACAAAAAGGTAACTGAGAACCCTAAATGCAATTGGACCCCAGGTCCCATCTGAAAAATGACTCAAACTCTCAGTTAGGTCTTAAATGTACTCACTTTTCAGGGATTCTCCAGGGGATAATTCCTGGGAACCACTTAATGCCCAGGGTAGCTAACAGAACTAGCCTCTGGATGGATTTTGCTGAAGCTTCCACTCCTATATACCCATCATTTTATGATATTTCCTTAATCCAAACAATTAATTTAAAGGTGTTAGGAAGTGGGAGAAGGATATACATAATGAGGGGATAAACTTATTTAGGGTTTAGGAATGGGTCGAACAGGAGCTGATGGACATATGCAGCCAACATACTCGGTCAGCCAGGAACAAAATGGTATTGATGCACTTACTTGATTTGTCATCAAGGATAACAACTCCCTGCTTGCTGACACTATATACATTATGGATGATGAACTTGGAGTTGACAAGTTTGGTGTCTAAAACTTCCTCTAAGGAATCCAGGCCAAGGATTTTCTGTAAACTAAAAAGATAAATAACAATTACTTATCTGTAAAAAAATCATTATTTACCCAAAAACCTGGCGCTGCAAAAGATTTATCTTTAAAACGCATTATTTTCATGCATTTCGCCCCAATATTTTTGGGGTAAAAAGGCTAGAAATGGAGTATGATAAAACAAACTTAAAAGATATCCTTTTTCCATTAACACGTTGCTGTACTGATTGAATAATATAACACCCTGAATGCTGAGAAAATAATTTTGTAAGTAAAAATATTATAAAAAAAACTAGCTTATCCAATGGTGACAAAGTGCTGCTAATAGATCTTCGTGAGAAAAAAAATTTTGCTGTGACACTGTTAACTTTAATTATAGTATATCAACTACCTAGACCAAATTTTCCATTATGTGTATTTTATTAAGCTTAAAATTTCGTATTACTAAAAAGTTTAAGAACTTTTGAACTCCCACTCTTAACTATTATATGAATGACAATAGAAAATCCCCAGAATTCAGTTAAATTATGTTTGCTAAGCAGCATAGCAGCAAATAATGTGAAGTTGAGATTTTTAATACATAATTTCAGAGAATTAAATATGCAGAGTAGTGAAGTAAAGTAGAAACATATCACTTAAAAATTCTCATTAACATCAAATGCACATACTATGATAATGTCATAGACTTCCATATCTCTTCTACATTGGCTTCTGTCAGCTGTCTGCGGTGAACAAGACGGCAAGCCGGCACCTCTCCAATAGCAATACTGTGACGCTTGTACCACATCTCAGAATTCTAATGGGGGAAAGGGAGAAGTAAGGAGTAAGAAGGAATACGGNGTACCACATCTCAGAATTCTAATGGGGGAAAGGGAGAAGTAAGGAGTAAGAAGGAATACGGGAAGAAAAAAGGGCAGAAAGAGAGAGAATAAATACTTCAGTATAAGGTAGTATAAATTTATGAGAAATGTCATTGATCTATTTGTAATTCAATTTAAAATAATGCAGGCAGTCCTTGATTTACAATTTTTTGATTTTACGATGAGTTTATAGAACGTAAGCCCATCATGACTCGAATAATTAGAAATATAAACTTT